TTCAGTCAGGCAGATACAGCTGCATTCACTGCATGTGATTCCCCTCTCACTAAAGTCAAAAGTAAATCTTGGGAAAAAACAAAAACTTAAAAACATTGTCTTGTAGCTTTATATCATGAATTTGTCATTTTACTCTTAGAAATGTGTACATCTAAGAGTCTTCAGTGCTCAGACACGTTCGAATTAAATGAATAATATGGAAAAGGTTTATTTTATGATTTTTACTGTTGTTGGTTTTTTTTCATATGATTACAAAAAGGAAACGACCTGTGTTGTTGTTATGCTAAAGGGTGAACGTTTGCAGGCAACGTGTTGTCTCTGTCACTTTGACAGTGAATCATCAAAAATATAGAGGGTCACTGTTTTATCTGTAACATTCATTCCCTATATCTGGCTGTTCTATGAGTCATATATTGGTGTTTTTGTGTATGTAATCCAGATTGTGTATACATATTCTTGCATGATTGTTCTTCATAGATAAATATTAAGTTTAAGTTTATAAACATAAACTTTTAAGTGAAAAACTTAATATAAAGTTTCTCACTTAATTTTAAATACATATTTCATTAACTATACATAACCAATGTAATTTACAGCCTTTATATAAAGCCCCCTACAGATACAGTAGGTGTCGAGATTTCTACCCCCTGCTCTCATAAACTATTTTATCACCACTGGTACACGTTCTCACAGCTATGATTACACCATGATTTTTTTTCCTCTATATTGTACTAAACAGAATTTAGATAGGTTTAAAGTTTGAGAAAAAAAACTGTTGCTCACCAGTAGTACATCTGACACCAGCCACTGAAGTGATCACACTGTAGGCTCCATCATTATTTACAGGTGACTTTATCCAACAGAGAAAATCCATAGATGAATGCACCTTTACCATTTGTAATTAAATTATTGAATATTAAAGTTATGCGAATATGCATTTGCATTACCATTCCTCCATGGTCAATATTTGCCATGCATACAAAGTCATCTGCAGCAGAGGTAAATAAAAAAATCTCAGAGAATAAAAATACATATAAATGCAATACTGTCTACTCTATTATTGATGGATGTTACAGTGCAATGTAAGGCATGCAATGTATGAATGCAGGGATACTGGCAGCTAAATAAATAAAATACCTGTGTTTTTGGCTTTAAACCTACAAGTAAAATAAATAAAGGGAAGCAAAGGTTACATAAAATTACAATGAAAATAAAAAGCAGGCTTATTGTGGGTTTGGTCGGTCAGTTTAAAAATTATAGGACAGTAAAAATTGTTAGAACCCAGGTGAGACACAAGATGGCTTTTACTTTGAAAAGACTCTGGGATTTGAAGGCATTGTCCACCCTACAGCATTTCTGGCTGGGTTGTGTAAATAGGATTAGACAGATGTATAACTCATGAGTAATGATAATTAGATGGTTTCAATGTGAGTCAGAGCAAATTAGTAACTGTTTCCCTCATTATATTTTAATTTCAAAAGAAGGAATAATTCTGTATTTTGCTATTTTCTTTTATTTCATTGCTTTAACTCTGTCTCTGTTATTGCTTCTGCATTTTGTAAAATAATGTCCAGGAATGAATGGGGAGATGTGATCAACATTTATTAAGGGAAAGCTCAAGTTTGCTGAAAACTAGATTTCCTACCTGTTTGGAGAATATCTGTCTAAGAAAAACAGAAATAAAGAAGTCAGAGTCAGAATGCTATATAGGCTGAGTGGCATCAGATCAGTTTTACAGTCAGTGGCTGATTTACAGTAGTTCAACAAACATACACAAACCTACAAACTTTCATTCAATGAGACCTCCTGAAAGTATAAAAGCAATACAAGAGAGTTTGTAGGTGGTGTGACAGCTCCAAACTTGAACTGAACGTGAGCAAAACCAAAGAGATGGTGGTGACCTTCTCCAGTAGGAGAGGATCTGGCTGCTTCAGTCACCACCACCATCCATGGGAAGCCAGTGGAGGTAGTTGAGGAGTACAAATACCTGGGAACCATCTTTGACAACCTCCTGAAATTCTCTGCCAACACAGAGGAGATTCTCAGGAGGTGCCACCAACGGCTATACCTCCTTAGGAAACTCAACTCCTTTGGAGTCAGCACACCCATCATGATGACTTTTTACTATGCCTTCCTGGAAAGCATCATGACCTTCTCCATCACCTGCTGGTTCCACTCCCTCAGCCTTCAGAACAGGAACAGACTGCAGCACACTGCATCAGTGTGCTCTAAAATCATTGGCCTGCCTGTCAGAACTCTGGCACAGGTTTTCAGCCAACAGGCCCTTAGACAGGCAGCCAAAATCATCAATGACCCCTCTCACATTCTTCACCCCGCATTTCAATGGCTCCCCTCTGGGCGACGCCTCCGCTGCATTTCCTGCAGGACTGAGAGGAGGAGAGCCACCTTTGTCCCCAAAGCCACCTGCTTTTTAACTCCAGCCGATAAGAACATTTCCCACACCAGAAACATAAACTATTCTACACTCTTTTATACTGCCGACACTTTATTCACTTTTAGTAACTTACAGTTATTTATTCACCTTTCAGTCACTTTAATTTTAAAACTGTGTATATACTGTATACTCTGTGTATTTATTATCTCACTCTCATTGCCTGTTTATGCCCTGTCCTTATCTTTAACGTCATGCTACTCTGTTGTATCTTAATTGCCCCTTGGGGATAAATAAAGTCTTTCTGATTCTGATTCTGATACAAGAAATCTAAAAGTACAATTATTTCCTAAATCCTTAACACTACGTAACATATTATTGCATGAAAAAATTATTTATTACAGACTGATGGCAAGAAGAGTAACCAGAGCAATCTAATGTGAAATCACTTTTAAAACTGTAAATGTTATACTCTAACATTAATATCCATCGGCACATTGACAAATACTTTCACATATCAATTGACATAAATCTCACCATTTCTTCTTTTAGCTCTAAGAATCATCAGCACCAGTAAAATGACGCCCACAGTGACTCCGAAACCAACGACGACTAACACAACAGTCAGTGTCCACGTTCCTGTTTGAGATCACAAACACATCTCATTTTTAACTCGAAAGTTGGACAGTTCTATGTCTCTGTGCTAAGGTTCACACTAAATATATGGCTTAGATTAACATGTTACTTTCTGATTAAATACTGCCACAAATAAAAACATCAGTAATTTAGTAATTTTAATTTTAGTAATTAAAATGTCTTTAACATTTAAAAAAATGTTAAAGACATTTTAAAGAATAGATGTGTGCTGATGTTGTGTAATTCAAAGGGGAGACAGTTGTATGGACAAAAATTGTGATAAATTTAATGCGCAGTTTTAATTAGCACTGTGAGCTCTGAGTGAGTCTTCAAGCGCTATATAAGAATATATAAGAATCAAGTTTTGAAAATACACTATGTGAAATATTTTACTCCTGTGAGGGATGGTTTTATGACGTATCAGTGTTTGTTTTATTTACAGGTTTTTCAAATGTGTGATCTACTGAAATAAAACAGAAATATTACAAAAACTTTTACAACAACATAGCTTTGCATTTTCAATGTGCTCATAACAGTCTCACCTGTGTTACTCCCTCCTGATGTCATGTCTTCAGTTTTTGTGGTTACAGGGGCCATACTAGTTGCATGATTTAGATTAGTAGTAGTTACTAATTTAAAACACATAAATACAAAATAATTAACGCAATGTCAAATATATCACAACTTTTTAAGTATATATTTGCTACTGCATTTCTTTTCTGTATCACTAATAAAGATTTAACAACAGTAAAGAAAACAACAAAACAAAAATGTTGTTAAACAAGGTTCAGACTCAGAATATTTGGATTGTTGGACCTTTTTTTTCCAGACTCAGCATATTTAGTATGCAATATAATATATTGCACCAAAATTCCACAACTTAGCTTTAATGCGAGAAGATTTGCATTAAAACGGAAAAAACTGCATACAATGTATAGGCCATAGTTTGTGTTTAACTAATGAGACATATCAGTAATTTAGTTACGTGATGGTGAAGTCACAGAAGAGGTAGAAGTGAAAGCAGTTGATGTGGTGGGACTCAATTGGGGACTAAAAAATTGTCTAAGATAATTTTAAAAAAATCATGTGTGATGATGTTCTGGATTTATTTTACAAGTATTGTAAACGGTTAGAGTAGATGATGGTTTTGTGTGGGTCATTGTTGATTCGCTTTCCATAATGTCTACAGTAAAAGGATTTTTTGCTTTTATGCATCACTTCACACTTGTTGTGTTCATGAGTCATAGTGAGAGACTAAGCTTTATCATTCATGCTAAGCATCAGAATTGTAGCTTTAGCATAATGTATGTAAGCATGTTAACCTGAAAAATGAATTAAAGCTTATTTTTGGTCAAGTACACACCGCTGCTTGTGCGTCTGAGCCTACAGAAATAAAACAGACATAAAACTTTTACAGCAATGTATCTTTGCTTTATTGATACAACAACAGTCTGTCAGCTGATGCTAGATTTTCAACTCTTTTGAGAGCAGGTGTCAGACTAATTGTAGCCCTTGTAATTTGTGGTTAAATAATACCAAACAAAACACATCAGTAATTTAGCTCCTGATGGTGAGTTCACAGAAACGGTGGAAGTAGAAGCACTGGACGTGTTGATTCTTGATGCTGCTGCATAAATGTACATAAAGAGTTCATAACCTTTGAAAGAAGTGACGTGTGATGATGATCTGGGTTGATATTTATGTGTATTGTACATATTACCTGCGGTTGTGGAAAATGATGATTTCATGACAGTCACTAGTGATTCTTTTTCCACAATATCTACAAGGAAAAGAAAAACAAAAAAAATGTGTTTTTTTGTTTGTTTTTTATTATTTTTGGAATCACTGCAGCAGACATCTTGTAAAACTAAAAAACTGAATCAAACTCATAACACATAAAAATAAGTCAGTTTTTCTTGGACTTACCTGTCTTTACCTCTTATTGTTTAGCGTGTCTTGGATCAATGCAACAGTGATCTCAGAGACAGACTCAGTCACTGTCAGCCACCATCATCTGCTTCAATATGTTTAGGTTATTTTATACTGGGGAGCAAGAAACTATCAAAGGTTTCTCACGTTTACAGACACAGACAGGAACTGAACTGCTGTTAGTGTCACATCAGAGGTCACCCTCTGAGGGCAAAGTGAGATGTTTTTACACTGTGCAGTATGCAGATGTGAATTCTCCCTCTTCACACAGTAACACAGTCTTTGTCAGCGTACGAAGTGACAGACAGTTTCTCATTTCAGTTTAGATTAAACTCTTCTAACATTACACATGTATGTTAATGTAAATTATAAAACATGATGACTCAGCGTTACAGTAGGACTTCTGTGAATGTCAACACTGTTTTATTTATTGCACTGTTGAAACATGACGAGTATGTGACTGATACTTAATGATGGTACATTGATCTTCATGCAGGTCAGAAACCAAAGATGAGTGTTCAGCATTTTAATGGAGAACATGTTCATTTCGTTTGCTCTCTGCCTGGATCTGTGAAAAATGACACAAGATGTAATCTGTACTTTGGAGAAGCAAGTCGTCCAGTCCTGACAGCAGCTGTCTTGAACAATAGCGAGACAAAAACCAAACAGAGGTTCTGCCAGTTTTATGTCCCAGTTGCTGATTTTTTGAAGCATCTATTTCTTGTTCAACAAAAGGATGCCAGCTGTGATTACAGTTTGGAAAATGAACCCAACTCTTTGTCACCTCGCAGTGATCGATACAACATGACAAGTAAGTCAAAGAGAAACATAACATAACCTGTTTTAGTGTATATGATACTACTTTTGAAACTAATAAAACATTAATTAAATAAACTGCTACTGAATGTTGAAGTTGACATAACTTTACAAAGTGTGTCATAGTTGCTGTATAATTATTCCATCTTTTCTTGTAGTTGATCTGATTAATTTGACTGAATTCTGTTCAGTTTATTGAATTTCAGCCTGTTTGTCCATTAAAATTCAAAATTATTTGAATTTATTTGAAAAAAAAAATTCAAAATTATTGGAACTGGTGGTTATAAGAGTGCAGCTGTGCCAGAAGATGTGAATAAAGTCACAGTTCAGCTATGATTAAACTCTTAGTAAGCCTTTTTGCAAGCGTTGTAAATATTAACAGTGTTGAGCATTTAGCTCAGCATGTGCTAGTGGTGAGCAAGGCTGCAGCTGAGGTTGACATGAAATCATTAATATTCTACTTGGTCACAACCCTCTGATCTCCTACACAGATCTCATCTGTTTTTAATATTCAACCATTGTTGTCATTTCCCAAGAAGGGGTAGTTTACAAAGACATATAGTGGTGTAAAAACCTTCCTGTTTTCCTATTTTTCAAACAAATGTAAATATTGGACAAAGAAAACACAAGTAGTCACAAAATGCAGTTTCTAAATGAATGTGTTTACTATTAAAGACGCTGTGTATTTTTGTTAATTTCCTGTTTTATAGGTGTTATATGAAAACCTCATCTCTGCAGTCGCTTAGTGTTTACTCTGGCTCTGAAAAAGATCCTGAATTTCAGGATTTCAATTAATGTCTGTGAAGGTTCTCAGTCATCCAGGTCATCGTAGTCAAAGGAGCTTGCAAAGAAAAGCGTCTGGACTTCTTTAAGTTGCTTGAAGACGTTTCACCTCTCATCCGAGAAGCTTCTTCAGTTCTAAGGTCAAATGGTGGAGAGTCCCAGATTTAAACCTAGTGGGACTCCCCACTAGGTTTAAATCTGGGACTACAAACATTTCAATTAATGTTTGTAGTTCAGTTTAACAAACATGACAGTTCTGTCTGTACAGAGAACTCAAACTGTCCGGAGGGGGAAAGGAGAAAACGCAGTTAAGCGACCTGTAGAAACGAAGCAAAGGAGTTACGAGAGACTGCACAAGGAATAAGTTAGAGAGCTTACTTGCCACACATTTACTAGAGACTTGGGCGAGGTACTTAAGGCTGGACATTGAAGTGGGGACGACGTGGACCCCAGGCAGCGCAGGTGAGCAGGGAGGTAGCTTGGAGAGTTAGCCAGGATAACTCCAGACTGAGAATGGCTGGGCAGTGAAGCAGAAGAGATGACGAATGTCGTGCAAATCAAAGTAGTACATAGAAGCAGGTTGATGATTTACCACTTAAGGCCGAGACAACAATCCGACACCCGAGAGCTGTCACGCTGCTCCTTAAATACCCGGCAGATGACTCCCAATGCTCCGCAGGCAAACACAAGAAAACCAACCAACAAAATCACCCATCAAAACATAGACACATTAATTTTTATACACATAAACACTTTTTTTTTTAAAATTTTTAGATATTTTGGCAAAAGAATGCACAATGTCACCATGTACCATGACCACAGGTAAGAGAGACTATACATCTAAGTATCATACAGAACATTGTGAATGTTTTCTTTAGATTAAAAACAAACAAACCTTTTATGTATTTATCCAGCACAACTGAGTCTCAGCAATCCCAGTGCTTCCAATAATACCACTCCTGTAACCCCCCCATCAGGTAAGTAAATCACTGATAGGTTATGTGTGACAGTAATTAATCAGAAATAGAAAAGTCCGTTAATCTGAGCCCTACAATCAGTGTGACCTAAGAGCATGGCATGAGTAGAGATGATAATGTGTGATTTTGTTATGAGTGCATGAAAAATGCAAAAACACAAAAGTTTTTAATGTTTCTGTTTCACTTCAGAAGTTCCAAAACTTCAAAAGCCTGAATCAAACCATACCTCACAAAAGAAAACATCAGGTAAGTAAAAACAATTCAATCATTTTAAAGTGCATCATTTTAAAGTGCATAATATTTTTGTTATTAATAGTTTTAACCAGATTTTTTATATACCATGATACAGCAGCTGTGCGTACTTTGTGCATTCATTAAATTCTCACCATGTTAACATATTAAGTTAATTCAGCTCCCAGTGTGTTCATCTGAGTTAAGCATATTAGAAAAAGAAAGTCATCACCAGTTGAACTCCACAACAAGGACACATCCTTGCAATCAGTATATAAAGCACTATGTCGCCATTTTAATTCTGATACACCTGGGAAGGATTCATCATTAAATCTGTTTGTAAATAAATACAAAACTACTGTTTTTCATCCTCACTTTTATAGAGTATTTTTTGATTTCTGAAATAAAAATGCTGAATAAGATTAACAGAAAAGCACTGCTTTAATTTTCCAAAGTAAAACCATTAATAACTTGATAAATAAGAAATATCAGCCTTCACTGAGAGATGTTGGCTCTTACAGCCATAACAGAAATACTTTACTTTTCTACCGATAATAAGAGATAAGCAACAGTAACTGCTTTACATATAAAACAACAACAATAACAACCCCCCCCCCCAAAAAAAAATACACATCAGCTTTCAGTGTCAAATGTTTCCTGTGCAAAGAAACTGCTCACTGTCCCCAGAGTCACAGTTAGAGAGATTATTTTGAGCTGATAATAAATCCACAGTGTCCACTGGCTCTGTCCTTTCTTTGACCACTGAATGATAATAAAAGGTCTCATCTTAGAGACCTTTTATTAATAGAATAACAATAATACCATGATTCCAATAATTTCTCTTCTTTGGTTAATAATTAACTCTGTCCATGTGACCGTATAAGTGCAACACCACAGGCACCAAACACCAGAGAAATACAAAGACGAGAACGATAAATATTTAACAGACATATAAAACATTTTCAGTAAAGACTCAGAGTTAAGGTGGAGGTAAAAACTAATTTTATATTTTAAAACAGGTCCCCAAATATTTCAGTTTGAAACAAAGTGGGGGATTGACTGATTAACTTATTTTGCATTTAGGGTGGAAATGCTGCAATACTGTGATATTAAATTTGTTTTTAGTTCCAAAATTGCTTCTTTTAAAATGACTGTGTGAAAGGAAAAAAACGTGTCATGTTGATTTATTTGTCTTCTTTTACTCTGTTGTGAAAAGCAGAATCAAGAGCGACCACCACAAAGTCAACATCTACCACAGCCACAGGTGGGACAAAGAGTACATTTAAATATCAATCCAGATCACTTCTTTTTTTCACACCACTTCTTAAAATGATCTTAAACATGTTTGTGGATTTATGCAGCAAAACCGCAGCAAAATACTTCCACCTCTACCACTTCTGTGAACTCACCGTCTAAGTCAGGTAACCGATGTGTTTTGTGTGACAATTGTTGATAGCACATTTAAATAGTTAGCGTCAGCCTTACAGTTAGTGCCACCTCTGTAGTCAAAACATGTGACGGTTTTTGAGTGGTAAGATTGTTAGGTATGCATCAAAAATTCAGACATCAGCATAAACATTTGCCAAAATGTGCTTCTGAGCAGCTGAGCCATTAATTTAGCAATGTTTTTTTTTCATCATAAATTTGTAACTTCCTGCAGGTAAAGAAAGAGCCTGGTCGTGTAAAAGCAGAGGAACTAAGTAGAGTGACAACAGTTTTTTTCTTTTTATGGCTGAAATTACAAAATATTTACTGAAGTAATTCTGTCCTCAGCGTTAGCATCAGTTTTCCAGTTAGACGCACAGTGAACATGCTCACACAGTCAGGCACAGAAGTTACATTAACTTGATTTCTATTATAATTACGACTGTCTACTGTCTGGTCTCTACTGTTATTTTGTTCCTCTGAGGTACGGGGATTTCTAAAACTGAAATAACACAGAAAAAATAAATAAACCAACACATTTTTATCAGAGCAAAGCCTACATGATTTCTCTTTATAACAACAGTTGTAATCATTAAATGCTCTTAGCTTAATTATTGTTCCTGTGACTGCCAACCAAGAAAACTAGAAGTACTGTTTTGAGTGTAACAACAAAAATAACCACCAGAGGGACACAAAGACAAGAACTATTCAGCATCTCCAGACATTTGCACTCATATTATGTCTGCACTAAATTTACAACAATACACAAAATATTAAAATTTGGAACAAAGCAGTGGATCGACGGAGTAACTAACAATACTGCTGGGAAAGAAATAGTTAGTCATTAATGTGATAAGACTTTTGATTATTAGTTCAAAATGACTTGATAACTCAATCACACAATCACTATAAATAAAGTCTTTAACATTTTTTGCATATTTATGCAGCAGAATCAAGTCTCACGACACCCAGGGCTTCCATTTCTACCAGTACTGTGGACGTATCATCAGGTAACTAAATTACTGAGGTTTTATGCATTGTAGCATTATTTAATCAGAATTTATTGATTTTTCTTTATTAATGCAATCCTCCTCAAAGCAGAGACATAGAGCTTTGGTGTAATATATTGTTTTGTTTAGTTTTTAAATATGCTTTTATTCTAAACATTGTAGAAGAAGTCTCAAGAAAAACAAACACAAAATCATCATTTACCTTGACCACAGGTACGACATACAATTCATGTGAATATTAACTCTGATCATCACACATCACTTCTTAAATCTTAGATCTTAAACATTTCTGGTGCTTTTACAGCAGAATCGAGCCTCAGCAGTTTCAGTGCTTCCACTTCTCCCACTTCTGTCATCTCACCATCAGGTAATTAAATTACTGATGTTTTATTTTTGACAATAGTTAATAAGAAATCAGAGCAGACATTAATCTCTTTTTCAGTTAGAGATAAGATGTGTTTGTGGTTTCCTAAACAGGAAAGTGGACACTGACTGTTGTGCTGGTCGTCATTGGTTCTGGTGTAACTGTGGGTGCCATCTTATTGGTACTGGCACTTTTCAGATCTAAAAGAAGAACTGGTGAGATCTCAATCAGTTATTATGTAAAATCATGCAGATGTATATGATAGTTAGAGTATAGTACTAACATTTCACACTCAGTGGATTAATACAGACTACAGTGTCTTCTTCTTAAAAGCAGTTTTGTAGTCAGATTTGTTGTTAAAGGCTGTTCTGTTTCACAGACGTCTCACTGAATCAGAGCTTGTCAGTTTGTAATTAACGGCTGTAAAGCTGATCTGACCCCAGCAGACTAACTGTCACGTCTTTATTGCTGTTTATTCCAGAAGGATATTCTCTAAAGAGGCAAGAAACCTGTTTTCAGCAAGTATTTTTTTTGTTATCACTTGTATAGACGGAAGTTAAACTTACTGACTTTAGATTGTTTTCTTATTCTGCAACTAAACAGAATTATTGGAAGAGTTGTGGATTAAATGCCTTGCTCAGGGGCAGCGGGGCACTTCAGGGCAGAAAGTCCATTCACTTTCCTGTATCAAAAAACAGTCTTTAAAGTAGTAACCAAACAGAGTAATATGATGGATCTATGGAGAATATTCAGCATTTATATGATTTTTGTTTAATTTTTAAATTAATTTTCCTTTTTTATGTTTAGGACAAGAACCAGCATCCAAGGTACTGAATTCATTTAGTTGCAGCATCAATGTGTTGTTGATTTATACAATGTTAGGACAGTATTTATACACTTGTTAACTGAGCTTTATTATTTACCTACTGCTGCAGATGACTTTGTGTGCATGACAAATATTGACCCTGGAAGAATGGTAAATAAACTAAAATGTTTGTCAAATTCTACACTAATATAACAAAACATTCAAAAATTGAAATGCAAGAGGTTTAAGGGTAGGTTAACTTTAATGTATTATTAATGGATTTTCTCATTTAATGTCCTCTTTCCTGCTGCATAAAGTTACCTGAAGGTGATGATGGAGCCTACAGTGTGATCACTTCAATACCTGATGCCAGCTGTGCTACCGGTGAGCTGTTTATTTATTTATTTTTATTTTCCTTTTTGTTTTACACCTACTTAAACACTGTAGTGCAGGGTGGAAGACAAATTTCAATATTGTAATTATATTATTATACCACAGCTGTGGGAACATGTTTTATGTGGGGGCAGGGGGTTTTGAAAGGATGACATGTGTGAAAACTGGGGGTACCTCAACAGCAATATGAAAATAGATATTTATATAAATGTTGTAAATTGTACATTGTTATGCATGTTTGATGAAACGTGTTTGAAAAGTAGTTCAATATGGCAGCACTTTATCTGCAAAGACCTTGTAACATAACACACAACTACACAGTTTTTAATTATATTTGTGGACATTCACCATCCACCAGGGGGTGCTGCAGGACCCTCAGTGTGCCTAATCCCTGCAGTCCCTACTGCTATATAGAGAATGTACAATATGGTAAATGGCCTGTATTTGTATAGCACTTTTACTAGTCCCTAAGGACCCCAAAGCGCTTTACATATCCAGTCATCCACCCATTCACACACTGGTGATGGCAAGCTACATTGTAGCCACAGCCACCCTGGGGCGCACTGACAGAGGCGAGGCTGCCGGACACTGGCGCCACCGGGCCCTCTGACCACCACCAGTAGGCAACGGGTGAAGTGTCTTGCCCAAGGACACAACGACCGAGACTGTCCAAGCCGGGGCTCGAACCGGCAACCTTCCGATTACAAGGCGAACTCCCAACTCTTGAGCCACGATCGCCCCATGTGCTAGTTTATCTGAGTTTAGTTGTATAGTTGCTGTGTTTCTTTCAAAGTATGACAAAGTGAATACTATATAATATAAAGAGTTGCACCAATGAAAAAGCAAATCTTTCAGTTACATTGTTGCTTTTATCTGTTGCATGAAAAACCAACAAAAGATCCCAATGTTTCAGGTCCTCTTAAAGAAAAAAAAAATAGCGAAATGACAGTAACATGTGGTGTATGCCCTTCAGTACACGGGGAAGTACACCAGGTCATATTTGTGCAGGAATAGAACAAAACTCTATTACTTCAGTTCTTCTTGCACTTTGTATCTGTCTAAAACAGCAGTTTTAGTTTGTGATTCTCTTGATTGCAGGTGCTCAGAAACTGAACAAACAAGAAAGGAGAGAGCAAGATGTAAGTGAGACAAAGGTTCAGTAATTAAGATGTTTGTTATTTGGCTTTGAAGATGCGAGACGTAAATGACTCACACAGCTGTGTTCTTTCTTTTCTAGTTTGATATTTATCATCCATACGCCACCATCGCTGAGAAACCAGCTGCACCAGTCTCACAGGACATGACCTACAGCATGCTGCAGGCACATTGATGATGCTTATTATTTTATTTTCAGTAATGGAACCAAATGCCCACTGTCACTCTGTCAGTACTGGAAATGTTTTTTGTCCCTTGAACAAACTGTACTCTGCAGAAACTGCAAGTTAAGATTGAAACCGTGTTTTTGTTCTAATCAATGTTAGCACAACATTTTGTAATTGGATATATTCTGCCTGGTTAATGTCAAATTGCTATCTGTGTTTGGCTCAAAATTTTTGCACAGCATTTTTTCTGAAACTATTTTTTTTTGCATATAGTGTATCCAAGTAATGACCCTTTTCCACTTTTGTATTTTATTCTATTAAATATTTGTTAGACACTGGCAGGAGGCTGCTTTTGCATCTGGGTTAGGAACAGGAGGGGTTACTTTTTTGTTTTTCTTGCTTTTGCTTTGACCAGAGCTGAGGGCCTAAAGTGGCCGTAGCTGGGCTGTAACGGTGGAGACTTTCTCTTCAGTGGTTAGTGGTTGTCAGTGCTGCCCTGGTTTGAACTGCACTGTAGTAACAGTGTGTGTAAAACTGAGATGTACGTATGTATGTATGATGGTGTCCCTGTTATTAAAACTCTTGAGCTCTTTACTGCCACATGTTGCCACACAGACATCTGGGAAACTAAGCCCATGGCAACAGAAATGACACAAATGTACTCATGCATTTCACTTCCTTTCTTGTTCTTTGATCTAAATAAAACTCATAAGTAGTTTCAAAGGGCTGTTAATGTTCATTTGCTCCGCTGTGTAAAAGCGTTCATTGTT